TTGTCAAATCATTATCAGACTGTATTTATAAATTCATCTCATCTTTTTCGAGCAAGAATCAACAATTATAAAGCCTAGTTTGTGGTATCGTTCATTTCCAAATAATCAAACATAGAATATCGTATTATAATCCTTTCCATAGTAATTGCTTATAGCATATCATTACATTATTTTAACTTAACTATTATGTTATGTTTATATTATGTTATATTTCTCTAATTTCTTATCTAACCATTGATAAAATAAGTCCCATATTTTATAATATTCTTTTTCTTCTTGCTCTCTAATAGCAAATGTCAATCTACTCATTTCTGTACCTTCCATTATTTTCGAAGTTTACAAATCTTAAAGATTTGCTGGCTGGGGAATTCTGGGAGTTGAAGTCCACCGGTCTTAAAGTTCCCAAGGTTGGAGACCCCTGCACCAGAGCATAGGGTTCCAAGTTCAGGACCCCCAAGGATGCATACAATTTCTGGAGCACCTTCAAAACCTCTCCAGCGGAGCATCCTTCCTGGACATGCGCATTGCTTGGTGACCCAACCCATAAGCCACTGTCCAGCCTGCAACCTATGGAAGAAACTACCTTCATCAAGGCAAGGGGATTTTTCCGTGGAGGGAGGCGCCCTCTGCTGTCTTGATCTGGCACTACAAGGCCAACAAAATGTCCCCTTTCCAAATATCACAGAACCCCCCCAAAACCCCAAACCTTTCCCAAGGGAATTTCAGAAATGTTGCAAGGAAAAAGCTTTCCAAAGGAACAAAGGCTGCTACATCGCTTTCCTCTGAGGCAACCCTGAAGATGGGAGGACTTCAACTCCCAGAATTCCCCAGCCAGCAAAATGTGAAATACAAATAAATGGTCTCGTTAAGTGGACTCCTTGAATTTGTATTTTGCTTAGTTGACCATTCGAAGACACAAAGGCACTAAAAAAACAACTTATGGCCGTTTTTCATGCTTAACGACCATTTTAGCATCTCCCTGGTGATCAAAACTCAAGGTGCTTGGCAACTGGCATGTACTTATGACGGTTGCACTGTCCCAGGTCACTTAATCCCCTTATCTGCGACCTTCTGAAAAGCAAAGTCCCTGGGGAAGACAGATTCACTCAGTGACAAGGTTACTAGCTTCCACACTGTGGTGATTCACTTAACTGTGGCCAGAAAGATCGTAAAACGGAGCAAAACTCACTTTATTCTGGGTTCAGTTGTGGTCATAAGGCGAGGGTTGGCTGTAGAGTGGTTTCTTCCTCCCATCAACGGCTGATAGAAGGGGGCCAAGGATGGCAAGATAAGTCGTTGTAGGGAGAGGGCAGTTGTGGGTCCGTGAGGCCCTCGGTCCTGCTGTTTTCTTGCAGACGTTTCATTACCCAACTATGTTGCATCATCAGCGCTGGCAGGAGTGAGGTTTGCTGTCTGTAGAGCAAAGGTGTCCATCCTCGGTATTTTTTAAGACTTGTAGACTTCACTTCCCAGAATTCCCCAGAGTTATGTTTACAGGCCTCAAAAGTTTTAAACTGACTAAGGTTGGGCAACCTTGTTGAACAAACTCTGTAGACAGCACAACCCCCTCTAGCACTGATGAGGTAACCTCGTTGGGTCACGAAACGTCTGCGAAAAAGCAATTAAGATTAGGTAGCACCAAGGAGCCCACGAGTCAACTCTTGAGCTACAAATACTGTATCCGTTGTTAGTTTACATCAGGGGTCTCCAAATGTGGACTTCAACTCCCAGAATTCTCCAGACAGCATAGTTGGCTGGTGAATTCTGGGAGCTGAAGTCCACAAGTCTTAAAGTTGCCAAGTTTGTCAGGATTCCAGCCATCGCCCTAATTAAATCATGATTCTTGAGCCAAACTTCAAAAGGATTCATTAGAGGTGACATCCTGGCACTGCCCTGGATGAAGCCAACTCTGGCCTATATCATTGTTCCCCCCCTCACCCCCGGGTGTGTCATAAATCAGATATTCCAGAGTACCTTCACAGGCTGGGTGTCCTCATTCACGTTGCCCAATTCCATATATTCCCGGGCAAAAGCTCTGGTAGTTTAGTTACAATCTTTTCAAGAGTTGGAATGTACTTTTGCTTGCAAACTGCTGCACTGCTCTTCCAGATTTCCTTCCTCTCCCCCCCACCCTTTTTATAAATGGTAATTACTAAAACAGGAATAGGAATGTTTTGAGTTGACATTCGGCTCCTCTCACTTCTTGAAGGTGACCTGTATAAAACAAAAACAAATTGAGTGCAGATATAGAATTTAGGATTGCGAACCACTAACCCCAGGCTTGGTTGGATTTTCTGCATGGAACCTTGCTATCAGGTGATCGGCTTGGACGTTCCTACTCTTTACCCAATGCCTCCGGTAATGGATAGCCCTTCCACTTAAGTATTGGAATTGTCTCCTGTGCCACCTCGAATTGAGGATTTGCTGCACATCATAACGGGCTTGGCCTCCTATGACCACGAGGTCTGGGGGTTCACGAGGTAGGGGCCTCTGGGTTGATCCAGCCACAGGTTTTAAGAGGTTACTATGGAATGCCAGGTGTAGCTCCCCTAGCAATTGGGGCAATTTCAAGTGTACCGTGACTGGGTTGATCCTCTCTACTATGAGGAATGGGCCCATAAACTTTGGCTCCCGTTTCTCGCTAGGGAGTTTTAGCTGTAGGTACTTTGTGGAGAGGTAAGACTTCTCCCCCACATGGAATGGCCGCTGCTGGGCTCGGTGTTTTGTCTGCTTGGTTTTTATAGGCGTTGTGGTTAGCTGGCAGCAGGTGCGGACGGCTGAGGAGAGTGAGGACTCAGGTGAGGGGCCAGGACCATCAGGGAGTGGACTGCTACCTTCAGAGATTGTGGGGGCTGGCAGCAGCGATGAGGAGGTTCCCGAGGAGCCTGTGCCAAGTGCACGTGCACAAAGGATTACTCAGAGGAAAGAGCAGTTGCAAGGGCGACTCGGGAGTAAGGCTGCAAGGTGATGGCCCCACCTTGAAGAAGATAAAAGCTAGCTGTGAACGTTTTTTACAGGAAGCAAAGACGTTTTGAAGCTCAGCCTCGTGGACATTCCAGTTGGTATTTGAAGACTCTTGTGTTGTAAAACTATTTCTTTTCTGTTTTTTGGCAGCCTTGCCAAAACTTGGCAAGGCTCTTTCTTGTCGGAGCTACTTAGTTGGAAGCAGCCTTTTATCTGTGAAGAAACAGCATCCATAGAGGAAACATTAAAAGGTTGTGCTGCTGCCTTTGTCTTGTGTTTTCTCTCTTGGAACCAGGTTTGGGTCAGAACAATAGGTCTGTGCTGCTTTAGCTAGCGCTTTTTTAACATTCTCCCACGTTTGGGGACCCCCTGGTCTACACTGCCAGCCAACACAACGGCGGGACCTTGGCAGCACCTTCAGAGTAACTTCCGCTCACTGGAAACCTCCTCTGGGTTCAAGACCAAGCGGGCTTCCCAGGAGGCAGGCCAACCAGCCGCCGCTTCAAAGCAACACCAGCCACGTCAGGTAGTCACTGCATTTTATTGGAAAACATTGATATAATTTTTTTAAAATTTTTATTTTTTTAATCTTCACAGCTTGAACTGAACAAACGCCGCCTGCTTTCAAAAGACATTCTGGCTCAACCTTCCCCACTCTCTCCAGCAAGGCCCCCCTCCACGGACATGTCGGCGGAGCGCAAAATTCTCCCCGTCCAGATACGGGACACAAGAGTCTGCTTCTCGTTTCAATGGCCTCGCCCGGAAGAAGAAGAAAAAAAAGAGAGAAAAAAAGCTCCCCAAAGATTACTTTCCTCCCCCCAATTGGATTTCAAAAAAAAAAAACCAAAAACACCAAAATCAACCCTGTCCCCCCCGCACCCCGAAGAAAGGGGAGGGGGAAAAAAAGAGAGAAGCGAAGTTTGCAGCTCATGCCGTTTGCCGCCAGGAGGGGGAGGGCAGGAAGAGCGGGGAGGGAGGGGGGCAAAAGGGGGAGAGGGCGGAGGGAGAAAGCCACAGCTAAGAGCACAGACACCGAAGCCGAGAAGGTGCGCTTAAAGCCGCCAGCCACGACAGAAGAAATTAAAAAAAGCACTGGCGGAGGAGAGGAAAACGGGGCGCTCGCTCGGGCGCAGTTGGCATTCGCTCGGCCGAGGCTTCCCTCTTTTATTGCGGTGTCGCCCCTCCCCTTCCAACACCTTCTTCCCCCCCCCCCACAATCTCCCCAAAGCTGCCAATCAAAAGCCTCTGCCGCTCGTGGGGCGCATCCCCCATCGCCTCAGGTTATGTACATAGCAGCTCGGATGTCGGACACCACGCGCAGGAAACCATAAAGGACATTTACAATTGTTTCTTTTTTTTTACAGGGTTGAGAACAAAGAGACGGGGAGCGTGTGGCGGGGGTGGTTTTGTGAAAAAGCGCCAATCGGGACAGTGCTGGGGACCCTCACGTTCTTTCCCCCCTCCCCTCGCTTCGATCCGCCTCTCCCCTCCAGGTCGTGCCGATGGGATCCGCTTTCCGCCACGGACATCCGGGCGGTGGGGGAGTCCGCCCCTCCCGCCCACAAAATGAAGGGGGAAGACAAAAATAAAACCCCCTCCCCATTTTCTTGCTTGCACGCCCGGTGTTCCTTGAGGGCAAGACCCTCCTCGGCGGTGACGGCCAGGTCCAACGCGCGCCAACGGCAGTGCCCGGACACATGCAACAGGACTGGGGACGGGTGGGGGAAAAAAAAGAAAGGTTTGTGCACTCTCTCCACCCCTTCGTGGTGGTGTGGTGTGGTGTGGTGTGGTGTGGTGTGTATGTGTGTATGGAGGGGGTGTTCTCGAAAGGAATCTGCACCCTGAGATATGGGGCCAGCTCTGACGACAGAAACGAAGACATCCAGAAGGGCTGAGAGGGGCTCAGGGGACCGTGGGAAGGGGAGGAGGAAGGAGGGGAGGAGGAAGGGAGGGAGGGCGAAAAAGAGGGAGGGAGGGAGGGGGAGAGAGATGAGTGCAATCATGCAGCTTGGGAAGGTTTTTCTTTTTTTGTTTCCTTTTTTTTTTTTCCAACTTTTTAACTGCTTGGTCAGATTTTTTCGACAGCCGATTTGTTTGCTTAGAGAACCAGGTTGCTTAAGTAGAGAGTGAGTGTGGGAGAAAAGTTATCGAAGGAGAAAACGGGCCTTGCCAGCCACTCCGTCTGCGGGCTTCATTTTGCGGTCATCATCTGCACAAACTCTGCAAGAGACACGGAAGAAAGCAAGACATGGTGAGCGCACACCCCCCGCTTTTAAGGCCTCGTGGATGTCCCCGCGGCAGGCTTTGCTCCCCTCTCACTTAACGCCCAGGCACGTCACTGACCGCCCTTTAACTTGGTTTAAGTGTGTGGCCGAAGACAAAAGGAACCAACTGCACCCAGAGGGAAATAAAAACCCACTTCTGTCTCTCCTGTCCTCCCTGGTGTCCCCCGTCACCACCATCCTCCACAGCTCTCTTTTCCTGATCAACGAGAAGGTAGACTCCTAGGGCTGGAAGGGACCTTGGAGGTCTTCTAGTCCAGCCCCCTGGCTCAAGACTGGAGGTCTTTATCCCATCCTGGGCAAACGGTTGTCCTGTCTGTTTGTGAAAACCTCCTCCGGTGATGGAGCAACCACAAGATCAGAGGCACCTTTGAGTGTTTCAGGTTGCAGACCCCTGATCTGCACTGTGGAGTATATGGGTTGTGTTCTAGCAGAGGCCTGGCCGACCATGGCCGCTTTAAGACGGGTAGGACTTCAGTTCCCAGAATTCCCCAGCCAATTGGCTAGGGAATTCTGGGAGTTGAAGTCCACCTGTCTTAAAACGGCCACGGTTGGACATCCCTGTTCATGGTTGTGGTTCTCCAACCCATTCAGAGGCCTTTCCGACCTGCAGAGAACCCCCCCCAAACTTGGGGGGCTTGAGAAGCAACTCCCCCAACCCACCAGGACCCCTTTTACCAACCTTCATAGTTGACCTGCCCGTCTCCGTCAATATCGGCTTCCCGGATCATCTCGTCCACTTCTTCATCCGTCAGCTTCTCGCCGAGGTTCGTCATCACGTGGCGCAACTCGGCAGCGCTGATGTAGCCGTTCCCATCCTGGGAGGAGAGAAGCTTCCGTCAGGCTGTGGGGGTGAGGGTGGCGGCAGGGCCCAGGCTGGCAGAAGTTCCCACTCCACCCGCCTCCCTGCCCACCTCCCAGGCAGATTCCCGGCTTCACCTTGTCAAACACCCGGAAGGCTTCCCGGATCTCCTCCTCGCTGTCAGTGTCCTTCATCTTCCTCGCCATCATGGTGAGGAATTCAGGGAAGTCGATGGTGCCATTGCCTGAAAGGGAGCAATGGGCGTGGTGAGACCGAGCGGGCGGCTGTGGGCAGCCCCCCGTCTGGACTACTGCCCTTTCCCAAGAGGCTTTGCAAACTCCCCCCTTGACCAGCGGTCTCCTCCTCCTGATTGGCGAGACCACTTGTGTCCCTTGTCCCATAGAGCCTCACTCAGTTGCAATGAAACGAGAGAGATACTGGAGCAAGGGTCCCCAACCCTCAGGCCAAGGACCGGTACCGGTCTGTGGCCTGTTAGGAACTGGGCCGCACACCTGGAGGTGGCTGACAGGTGAGCAAGCAAAGCTTCATCTGTATTGGCCCAATGGGGCTCAGAGGTGAGCTGCCGCCGCTTCGCACCGGTTCAAATGAACCGGTAGTTAAGATTCTGAGCAGTTCGGCGAACCGGCAAATCTCACCACTGGCTGGTCCTGCCCCTTTTCTGCTGTTTTGGGGGCATTTTCCGGCCAAAAACAGCCTGAAAACCCCCAAAACAGCTAAAAAACTGCCCCCCAAATGGGTGGAGCAGGACCTGGGTGGGATTAACCCTAACCGGCTAACTCCTACCTCTGCCTTTCAGGTGAGTGGCCAGGAGGCGGGGCCTCGGTGTCATGAGTGATGTCCCCCCACCCAGTCACATGACCAACCGGCCACACCTACCCAGCCAGAGAACCGGCTCTTCCGTTATGCCGATCCCACCACCGATGGGGCTCTTGATAGAATGCGACCCCGTTTACTGCTGGAGTGGGTTTTTTTGGAGGGGGGAGGGCTGTCACTCACCATCCGCATCCACCTCGTTAATCATGTCTTGCAGTTCGGCCTCGGTGGGGTTCTGCCCCAGAGACCTCATCACGGTGCCCAGCTCCTTGGTGGTGATGGTGCCATCGCCATCCTTGTCAAAGAGGGAGAAGGCCTCCTTGAATTCTGCAGGGGGGGGGGGGGGGAGAAGAAAACGGGGCTCTCAAAACCGGTGGTGTAGGAAACCCGGCAGGGCTTTACCCCAAAAGGGCTCAAGGAGGAGGAAAAAGGGAAGAGAGGTGGGGAATCTCGGGGTGCCCACATCCTTCCCACTGTCCCCCTTTTCTGTTTTCTGAGCAGCCCTGAGCCCCAACCCCCCCCGCCCCCATGAATGTGGAAGGACCACAGACTAACAAAGCCAAGCGGAGTTTGTGAAAAAGGAGCTGCCTAAAATAAGGATGTAAGAATATAAATCCTTCCATGCCTCACTGTGGTCAACTCGTAAAACATTCCTATGCCCGTTTTAGTAGTTGCCACAAAAAAGGGAAGGGGGGGGGGAAGCGAGACTACATTCCAACTCTTCTCTTTAAAAGATTGTAACTAAACTTCCAGAGCTTTTGCCGCCCTCAATATATTTCATTGGAGAACGGGAATGAGGACAGTCAGCCCGTGAAGGTGCTCAACTGGAGAATCTGACTTATGACACACCCGGGGGTGAGTGGGGGGGGGGGAAACAGGGTCACAGGGGACTGTAAATGACGTAGGGCAGAGTTGGCTTCATAAAGGGCAGGGCCAGGAGGTCGCCTCTAAGGAATCCTTGGAAGGTTTTTGAAGTTTGGCTCGGGAATCATTGTTTAATTAGAGTGATTCCTGGAATCCTGACAACTGTCCTGTCCCAGCTGAAGAAGCTTCCTGGAAAAGCGAAACATCTTCAAAAGAAAAGATAAAAACAAGAAAGTCCCAGTTGCCTCCTGAAAAAAAAAAAAAACAACACCTTTGGGACAACCATCACCTGGAGGAATGAGAATCTCTGCAGACTTTAAGCTGCCTAAAAGTCCCTGGACTTTCCAGAAATAAGTTTAAAGACCTGCCTCTCAGTGTGTGTTTGCTGAGTAAGTCTGTTTGTGGCTCTTCAACAACTGGGGTGGGTGGGTGTTATTAATCCCGTTCATGCTCGGGGTGGGGCGTGTGTGTGTGTGTGTGTGTGTGTGTGTGCGTGTGTGTAAACTCACCTGCAATTTGTTCTTCAGTCAGCTGGTCAGCCTGCAAGCAGAAAACAGAAGTTAAGCGCTACGGCTCATCCCTCCCTCTGTCCACCTTGGAATCTTTTTGCCAAAAAATAACTGGGCGGGGAAGCATCAGTTGCAAGTGATATTTTCCATGCCCCCCAAAAAGATAATTGAGGTCCCTCCAAATTTTGGGAGGGCTCTGAATCCACATCCTCAGTGCTGCGCTATAGAAATCCCAAAATACCGCCTCTCTGAAGATGCAGCAAATCACACAGGGCAGAGGTCCCCAAACGTGGCACCTTTGTGGATGTCAACTCCTAGTATTCTCCGGCTTGTGGGAATTGAAGTCCGCAAGTCTTAAGGGTGCCGAGTTTGGGGACCCCTGACACAAAGGTTGAATGGGGTCCTTCAAGGCTCCCTGCCAGCCGTTGCATGTCCTGCCTTCTACCATTCGTGCTCAAGGTGCGATTGGTCCCATCACAGCGACAACTGGGGACAAGACTCTCCGCCAGGGGACCCATCGCTCGCTGCAGGCGTCTGGCTCAGGCCTGCTTCCAGGAGACCCCACCCTGTCCTTATCATCCTTCCTGTGCTGAAGGGCCATCCTCAGGGCTCTTCACTGCAGCCACAAGCAACTCTCCAGGAGCGGAAGGGCAGGCAGCCGTGTTGGAGCAAGGGGTCAGCGCTCCAAGCAACACACCCATAGAAAGCAGAACTACCAGGCAGGCAGATTCATCAAAGAGCACTTTATTGGATACATCATATTGGCATAACTGGCAAAAGTTCCTGAGGCTTGCAGCTAATTAAACAGTAAAAAGTTTCCCCTTCCTCCCAAGTCACCGGTCACGCTGTCCAATCAAGATGCTGGACGGTTGCTTGGTTACTTCACTCCTCCCCTGGCCAGCTACCTGTCGGAATGTCCTTGGTTCCCACAGGAAAACTTTGTTTTGGCTACAAAACCCCCATCTAGCTATTTTTTCCCACCTCTTTCTGTTTTGTGGCAACCCTGAAGCCACCAAGATGGCCTCAGCCATGGTCACTTCAGGGCTGACACAAGATGGAAGAGCCTCATTCAGACAACTCCAACTGTCCTTAGGGGTTGGAGACCACCATATAAATTAAAGGCGTGCCCCTCCCTCGCTTGGCTCCGGACAAGGGACTCACAACCTCTCCTGCCTCTTCTCTGCTCTTAAAGAAAGCCGTGAGATTCCTTCTGGAGCTCTCGCTAATCCAGCCCGCGTGAGGCAAGAGTCAGGACCAGACACACCGCAAGAGCTGCCCACAAAGGCGGCTGATTCATGCTGGAGAGCACCACAAAACCCAGTTTGACAACTTGATTTCTGGAATTTATTCCCAACAGAGGCGGGTGATGATGGCCGAAAGCCCGTTCAGGGCAACAGGCATGTCTCAGACCGCCAGGTATCATTCATCTCGCCCGTTTTGCGCATCAAAAGGCCCGCTGGTTCTTCACGCTGACACGGCAGGTCCTTTTTAACTCCCGGTGGGTGGGTGGACGGGTGGCTTGTCTGAAGCAATCCTGGCTACCGTGAGAAACAGGATGCTGGACCTTGCAGTGAGTCAGCAGTTCCCGTCTGGCCCTGTGGAGAAGCTTTGCCGATCCCAAGCGTGGCCAGATCAGATTCAAAACCTACAAGCCACACGGCGCTTGCTTGACTTAAAACCAGAAATATCCCGAGCTCCCGTCGCATCTACGGAGTCCTCACGGCACGGGAACGCCGAGCGCAGCCGTCCTGCACCAGCGACAAACCACCATTGAGACTTCCCAAGTTTGCTCAATGTCATTTTGGGGGGGACGGGGGAACGGGACCACCCGGGCTGGGCTTCCCAAAGACGTCGCCTGGATGGACGGTGGATGCAAAACGGCTCTTCCGTCTAGGATTCCTTTTGTCTTTCTGTAAAGGCAAGCTCTCCAATGACAAGGAGGTTTGTTTGCCAGGCTGGATTTTGGGGCAAGCAATCCCAGCTTCTGGGCGAAGGCCAGCCGTGACCGGGGCTCAAGAGGACACGGTGGGAGCTTCCCCAGGGGACCATGGGGCAGCTGCTACCCAGGGCTGGGGCAACCCGATGGACCTGTGGGATTCTGGGAGCTGAAGTCCATAGGAGGCTAAGCTGCCAGAGGTGCCCAGCCCTGTCCCAGCCCAACCCGCCTCCAAAATCCACGCCGTGACTAGAGCACCGCTGGGGCTCCCAGGGTGAAGCAGAGGCGCTGACCAACAGCCATCAAGCAGAGTCTCCCCCCCCCCGTCAAAAAACTCCATCTGAGTGTCTCTCTCCCACTGCTGGTAGTCCTTGACTTACGACCCGAATGGAGCCCACTGTTTATGTCACGGAGACATCTGCCCACTTTCTTGCCATGGGTGTTAAGCGAATCCCTGCAGCTAAGTTGGTGACACGGCTGTTAAGGGACTTCCTGGCTTCCTCGCTGACTTCGCTCGCCAGGTCGCAAAGGGGATCGCGGAACCGCAAGGCGCTACAACCGTCATAATGCGAGTCAATTGCCAAGCGCCTGAATTTTAACCATGCAGCCATGGGGATGCCGCAACAGCGTTAAGTGTGGGAAAAAAGACCATATATCGCTTTTCTCCTGGCCGTTGTCATTTTGAACCGTCTTTAAATGAACTGTTGTAAGTCGAGGGCTACCTGTATTAAAGGAGGTGGGGGGGGAAGAAAGAGGGGTTTAGCCCCAGAGACCGGAGGGGATCCAGAGGGAGGAAGCGAGGATGATGAAGCACTTCTGATGGAGCAAAAGGGGGGGAGGCTGGGGAGAAGCCCCCCCCCCCAAGGACCACAAAAGGCCTGAGCTGCTGCTGGCTTCACAGCCCACCCTCAATTTCAAACCCACTCCTCTTCCTGCTGTCACAGCTATGCTTCCTGGATCCAGAATGAGGCAAGAAAATCACTATCCCCCACCCCCCCCGGAAGCCACCAGCCATTAATCCCACTCCCTGCCCCCTCAAATCCCCTCGGATCGCGGCACAGATTTGCCCTGCAGAAACTGCCCGTCGCAACTCAAGGCAGCCTTTTGAGGGGGCTTTGCGGCAAAGATGCTTTCCGAGGACAACCGGTGCCGAGGAAGCAGAGAACCTGAGCCGGTGGGTTGGGCTGGTCCGCGCAGAGGGTCCAAAGAGGAGGCTGGCCAGCCGCTTTCCGTTTGGGAAAGGGACGAGGGGGGGGGGCACTTCAGCAGGGGAACCGAAGAATCCCAACGCGTCATCCAGGCGCCGGAAGCTGCAGTGGGGGGCGGGAAACCCCCCCCCCCCCAGGAACAAGGAGGCCTCCGTGGCCTTCTGCAACCCGCAAAGCCTCAGCGCCAAATCAAATCTGCCGTGTGTGTGTGTCTATGTATCTTCCGCGCAGGTGAAGAAGAAGGGCGAACGAAGTTTCCAAGTCCAGGTGTCTCTACCTTGTCCTCATTGGTGCTTTTCAGCAGCCCAACCCAGCCCATCCGCCCTTCCTTCCTCCAGAGCTTCGGCTCACCCAAATCAACCCTTCATAGTCGCCCCTGGCAGAAGTTTGTGGCCCCAGACAAGACGGGCGACGGCTCCTCTGCAGCGGGTTGCAAAAAAAAAACCCCCCGCCGTCTTTCGCTCTCTCCCCGGACAGGGGTGGCGTGAGCCGCTTTCCGACCAGAGCCCGTTCCCGCTGCTATTTCCGCTGGAGTCAGAGGCGACCCAAGGCGGCATTTCCTTCTTTAGGCAAATCCTCGGATGCTGCAGAGGACCAGCCTGATGCCACAGCCGGGAGGGCCTTGGATACATTTCCCCCTTGCAGACAGGGTGCCCGCAGCTCTGCCCCCCCCGGAACCCCCCCTCCGAATAGCAGCCATGTGACCGGCACCAGCAGGGGAGGTGTCCCCCCCCCTTCACCCCCATTGCAGGGAGAGACAAATTGCAACCCCCCCTCCCTTTTTGGTTTTGCACCGTTTTCGGATGATGGCGTCTGTATCTTTCAGGATGCTCAGAACTGAAGTGTTGCCCGCCCCCCCCTGAAAAAGA